CAAACCTGCAAATAAGAAGTAAAATGCGACAGAAACATAGCTACCCCAAGCTTAGCACAGTACGTGAAAATTTTCTATCTCTAATCTCTGCTTAGAATTAAAAGTAGCTAAAACCTTGAGATAATCATCATTGTAACATTGTTACACACAAAACCATGATTTATTAGTACATACGAAGCAATCAACATAAAAAAACATTGTGAACAACCCAGTACAGTAAAGTTCTTACATGCAGAATGTTTCCATGAGCAAATAGGTCAGCAGGTGAAACTTTTTTATATGAAGGTAATGGTAAATGTGTTCATCTAGTCTCTACTAAGAATCATTACATGTAAAAGTAGCTAAAACATTGCGGTATTCATCATTGAAACACAAAAAACTTTATTTTATTAGTACATACTAAACAATCAACATAAAAAAACATGTGAACAGCCCAATACAGTCAAGTTTCAGGTTGTTAAGGTAAATGTTTTCATGAGCCGATAACTAATTGTAAGTAATAACAGGGACCATCTCCAAACTCCATTTGTGAACCCCACATAGTCCTTTACTCTTTATGCATCACGTGTTTGTCCATTTTAACATATTTGAATCATCTTGTCAATCTGAAACTTGTGTGCATAATGGACAGGAAAACTTGTGTGCACTTGTTGTTTAAGCCACAAAATATAAAGCATATATAGTATACATAACTTCTGACGGAGACTCGCAATGCTAATAGTTATATCTATAAGCATTTAAACGGCTCTAGCTTTCATTAACTTAAGGACCAACATTTTTAGTATAGTCAAATCATTAGCATGAGTGATGCATCATAAGGCAGTATCAGGAAATGCATTGTGTAGTTAAAAATAATTCCTTTAGCATTCACAGAGTATCAAACGGAGGTACATACATCGAACCCAAGGGAGTCATGAATGTCTGGTATTCATGATAGTCATGCTTCATAAAAAGAAGAATGACTTATATATTCATGAAACATGCATGCCAATTATATATATATATATATATATATATATATATATAACCAATCCATAAAAATGAACAAATATATTAAAAGAACCTGGTGAGGAACCTATTGATACACTAAACACAAAATTAACAACTATAAAGAAGCTCCCTTTGCAGCTTACACAACCCTGCTCCTAAAATTCATATTTGTATGTCAAATTCAGCAAACATAAGGGAGCATAATGGAATACTTGTGAGATAATGGGCATGGAAAGAAAGCTACATAAGCAGGAGAATGTGCTTCTTTCATCAAGCGGTGCTTCCTTAGAGCCTTCATGGCCTGTTTAATGGCTTCCCTTGCAATCTCCACCAACGACCTGAAACAGAGAATTGATCTCAACTAAATTGGTCAAAGTAAATCAAGGACATAATATGCAGAACTTGATCTCAACTAAATTTAAGTAAAAAACATAGGGAATTCAGTAACCAACTGGTAACTATACTTTCTGCCTTGAGTATGATCATTGTCTAGGGATGTAGGTAAGAACGCTTGCGGTGATCGCAATTGTTATTGAATGGGATGGAAATGGAGCTAGAGGAATGATAGAAGGAAATAAGAAAAAGAATTGAATAAAAAATAAGATTAACCATCGATTAGGGAAGTTTGGTAGGAAATCTGGAGAGGGATACTAGTTGTGAGTGGTGGTCGTGCTTCCGTGACTCATTGGATTGAAACAATTGCTATGGATCAGGTAACCGCGAACCGCAGAGGGATGCATATATGGTCGGAGATCACAATCTCAATTGCTAAACCGAGGTAAGCTTTAAAGGCTGTGTCACTTGACCCTCTCGATTTAGGCAATCGGTAGTTGACTTACTGGGAACGGATCAGGTCAGTAACCCTATGGTCAGTAACTATGAGTAACCTGTTCACATCAACATGACATCAGTATCCTCTTTCTCCTGGAAAGTCTTTTATATATTCCCTTTTAATCTTTAACGGACGATTTCTCTCCCGTTTTAAGTCGAAATTTAATTTTTTTTGCACAGATAAATCAGATTAAATATGCTCTTTAAAATGATATCGACTTTGATATATTTTTAGTAAAAATAAATTTAATTATTTTTTACCAGTCATTACCATATGGTATGCTCCTATTTAATACCATATGGTAAGAAAGCGTACGATGATGGTATGAACATACCAATATGGTAAGAAGGTTGAATACATGATAGTAGGAGTATACTAACTGTCATTTACGACTTTCATCAATGTTTACCATAAGTTACCACCCACACACCATAGTGGTAAAGTATGGTAATTTTTTATCCAGTATTTTTTTCACCCAGAAATTTCTAGATCCAATAGATCATGACGAACTCGTTTCTTCTAAGCAAACGTTTTCAAAAACGATTTAAAAACGAAGAAGTTACCATATGGTATGTAGTTGGTAAAAAAAAAGTTTCTCGAAATATATTGAAAATTGATCTCATTTTGTAGAGCACAACGAACTCGTTCCATCTGTGCAAAAAAAAAAAAAAATTTGAAATCCGAGTTAGAACGTAGAATCTAAGAGTCGATTAAGAAAATTAGGGAATAAAATGCCTTTAATTGACAACCCTTAGATCTGAATTTTCTGGACTCATTTAGATCTAAAGGTTCAGATTCAGTTACTCATAGGTCAGTAACCATTGGTTACGGACCCTATCCTAAGCCTGACTTACTCCCTCACTCAACTCAAAGGTCGGACGGCTTAATCACAATTAACCGATTTGCTTAAGTCAACATTGAGGGTTGCCCTAACTAACCTAGTTAGGTGGCTTAGAAAGCGGAAGGAAAACCAACTCGATCGAGTCTCCCTTGGAAGGGGGATTTTCCTTTCTAAGCTAGGCTAAGGTGGCTAATTAGATTGCTAGCACCATCATGCACAAACCTAAGGGTGCTAAGCACAATTATGCACAATCCTTAGTTTGCTAAACACATAAATGCACAAATCTAAGGATGCTAAGCACAAAACATGCACAACCCTTAGATTGCTAAGCACGAGCACGAGCATGCACAATCAACATGAATAATACCTCAATCATTGAATTAAACAATAAATTGACAATCATGCAATCTAAACAAGTAATTACAAAGTATTAGTTAGGGATCTACAACACCTAAGGGAAAAGAGTGAGTTTCTAGAGAGAGAGAGGGAGAGAGAGAGAGAGGGATTACAAATTTGAGCTCAAGATCTTCTTCTTCTTCTAGGCTTGAATCTCCACCCAAGCCTCCAATGATGCTCCAAGATCACTCTAGCACTCTCTCTCTCTCTCTCTCTCTCTCTCTCTCTCACACACTAGAACTCCCCTTTGGTGTTTTTGGGCAAACCCTAGAGAAAGAAACCAATTCTTCTCCAAAAACCAACTCCCCTTTCTCTCTCCCGCTGTTGTCTTCATATTTGCCCGAAAGTGATCAGTTCACAGACGCGTTGGCCAGTTCACGGCCGTGAACACCTAAACGCGTCTGTAAACGCAGTGTCGTCCAAAATGCGCCGCTTCACTCTCCTGGGTTCACGGTCAATGGCCCTAGTTCACGTTCTTAGAGTCCGTGAACTCGCCTGGCGTCAGTAACCTCTGAAGCTCGCTGGACTGCTCGATGTTTAGGTTTGTGGTCCATGTTCACTGTCTTAGGAGACCGTGAACTGCCTTGTCCAACCGTGAACTGCGACTGTTTCTTGGACGCCTTCACTTCACTGTTACGGGACAATTGTCACGGACTTCGGACTTTTGTTCGGTTTTTGTGCTTTTTGACATCCAATTATCCCAAAACTCGTCCTCGACCCTTCCACACGTGCTAGGACCTGAAATGTATAAAAAACAAGTACGACCTAGCGTGAAATATATGTCGAGGAACAATGAAATACTAAGCTAAACGAATACGAAATGAGAGGTAAAATGTGTACATTTGGGCCTGAATCAGTCTACTACTACTTGGTGAACTAATCGTCATTGGTGTACATGGGTTGGGTGGGTTGGGTTTTGACTACTTTAGTCACCCACCCATACACCCCAGTTTATCGATCGTAAAACCAAACCCACCCATGAAAATCAAAATCCGATAGTTTGGGTCTGTTCCGATTGCAGTGTAAACCCAACAACTCTAAGCAAAACTAGTTTTTTATCAGCCTGTTGGGTAGTGCATTATATTTGATGATTTTATAATTCATTATAGTATTCTAATTATTATTATTATTATTTATGTTTATTGATTTAATATACATGAAATTGTAAATTTCACTTACCTTATTTTAGGTAATGTTTCATACTTTTATACTTTTTTTAATAAGATATTTTGGGTTAAACAAATACGATATAGTCACTCTCTATTTTCATCTTTATAGTTTGTTTAACTAAAGAAAAGATTATTACTTATGTGTGTTTGTTTGTTTGTTTAAATATTTAACAAAAAATGTAACTTTTTTTAAGTTTTAGTAAAAATGAGTAGAAGTATTAAAAGAAGAGAGAGATAGCTCCATAAATAGATCAATAAATAAATTTCTATTTGTAGATATTAAGTATGTGAATTCACCAAATGCTTATGTGGCAAGAAGTTACTTTTGACTAGTAGCGTTTTTACTAATGCGTGTGTAGCGTTTTTACGAATGCGTTTGTAGCGTTTTGCGATTGACGTTTTGATAGTAGCGTTTTACGAATGCGTCTGTTGCCTGAATGTGTAGGGTTTTTATGTGTGTGTAGTGTTTTGGTAGTAGAGTGTAGCGTATGGTGTTTTGGTTTGTGTACGACTGCATATGTAGGGTTTTTGTAAGCCAGCAGAGTTATTTGTAGTTGTTAAACCATGTTTTCACTTCGCGTCCGGGGAGGTGTAACCAAACACGAATCACTACCAATGAAATAATACTAACCACACACAAAAACACTACTATCTAAACCTTTTGGACAATTCACCTTCTCGTCTGCAAACTGAACATCGCCGGAAACAAAACAAAAAGAATTGCATCCCACTCCGATCAAAAAACAAAACAGAGCTTGGATCTATAAGCCTACACAAAACCACAATAAAAATAAATCTTCAACCCATAATAAAAACATACAGAAGGACACAAACAAAAAGTTGAGAGCCGGAGGCATGCAATTGTGCCGATGAGAGAATGGATTGTCGATTGATGATATCAGAGCACTACCTAATGCGGTGGCCTGAATGTAGATGCGGTCGGCTTAAAGCGCGCTCGTCGACGGCGCTTAAGGCAACGACGAGTTCAGGGGCATGGAAGAGGGCAGTGGCGTCGAGGGCCGTGCAGGCGAACCCATCCGCGACGAAGGCCACTAGCGAGGGAGGCTTCACCGATGGGAAGGACTGCGGGAACCTGCTGGGTTGCTACTCTCCGACGGATAGAGAGATCAGAGATGAATAAAATCTTACCCAAAAGGAAGTTAGCTTGACTATTGGGATTCGCACCACAAAATTGCACACGTTTTACCTGGCTTAAATCACGGCATGACATCAGCTAATAAAAGCAAATTATAAAAATGCGCCTAACAATAAAACACCTTGATTTGCCGAAAATTAAAAAGGAAGGAGATATAGCGGGTAAGCACGGTGCTAACGGGGTAGATGGTTAGCATCCTATCCCATCCCGTAGAGTTATACATGAAAGGGATAATAATCTCATGTGGTAATGATTTGTTTCCAAAATTACCCCTGATCCAATCTCGTCCAACACTACAAAAAATAAAAGAAAGAGAAGAAATCGAATGGTGTAGAGAGGTTGTCAATTGGAAAACCCACTACGGGAAACGGATCTTGTCAATAACTTTATGGTCAATAACCATGCATAATCCAACTAGAATTCGATACATCAGCACCCCCTCTCTCTCTTGGAAAACCTTTAATATTTTACCCTTTAATATTTAACAGATGATTTCTCTCTCGTTTTAAGTTAGAATTCAAACAAAATTTGTACAGATAAATCAAAGTAATTGTGCTCTTCAAAATTATATTTACTTTGATATATTTTTCAAACAAAAAATATTAAGGCATTTTTTACCCGTCTATACCATGGTGGTATTGATTGGTATAAAAATAAGAGCATACCATATGGTATGAAAGCGTACCATGGTGATATAAACATACTAGACTGTAGGATAGTTGAATACAAGCCTATAGGAGTATACCAACTGTCATTTACAACTTTCAACATTGTGTACCACAAGATACCACCCCCATACCAGGGTGATATTATATGGTATTTTTTGGTCATGTATTTTGTTCATCCAGAAATTTGTATATCCTATAGATTATGATCAACTCGATTCTTCTGTGCAAAATTTTCAAAAAACTGCTTAAAAATGATGAAGATGCCACACGCTATGGAGTTGGTAATGAAAGATATGAATTTTTTTCCTAAAAATAATGAAAATGAATTGAGCACAACAAACTCGTTTCATTTGTTGAAAAAAAAAATTGAAATCCAAGTTAGAACGAAGAAGAAATAAACCAATTAAAAAAAGTAGGGGGAAATGAAATTTCATTAATTCTCAACTCTTAGATTTGCAACCCAATTAAAATGAAATAGTTCAGATTTGATTATGTTGGGGGTATTACAAAGAGGGCCCAAAGAGGAGCCCAACAAAGCCCAAGGGCCCAACAAGGCTCATTGAGGCGAGGATGGGCTAACTAATACGAGAAGCCCATAAATTGGCCCATGAAACCCATTCCATGCAGGATGGAAGGCGCTTGAAGACAAAACACTAAAGGCTCCAAGGAAGTCCAGGCTGTCAAACGGTCCCCCACCTGCAGGCGCCTGCCAGTCGCCAGAAATCTGACAAGGTGGTTAAGGCATCTGACAAGAATGAAGGTACAAGGCATTAAATGCGACGATGACGTGGAGGAGATCAACCTCGAGTTGGGTGAGTATAAATAGGGGCAGTTGGTAGCATTTACACAGGTTGGACTCTCTCACTAAACTCACTTACTATGCACTTCTGTCTCTAGAAAGGAAACTGACTTGATCGTCGGAGGGCTAACGGGCCCAGGCGCCCCCCTCTGTATTCTTGTGTGTAAGCCAGGCGCCTGCCATCTAAGGAGCAGGTTCAGTGACGAGGTATCAAGACTCAAACAATTGGCGCGCCAGGAAGGGGAATATAGCCAAAAAACTATGAGCATGGAGGCGCCTATGAGCGGAGAGGAGGAGGAGATCACAGGAAGCGCCGCTCCTTGACCATAGGCACCCTCTTCAAGGTTAAGCAAAAGGAAGGGGAGATCTTGAGAGAATTTTATGAGAGGTGGCTCTCAATAGCCTTGGCAGTAAAAGACGGCAAGCCGTCGGTGTTGGGAGTGTGTCTGAACGAATGCACCACAAGCAAGGAGCTTTGCAGGGCTCTTGCTAAGAGGGACGTGGTGTCCACGGAAGACCTGGACCACTGGGTGCAAAAAGTGATCATGCTCGAAGAAACCTTGGCGGCCAGGAGGGCAGATCGGCGCCGGTCAAGAGGGGACGAAGCTGAAATGGTGCGGAGCCCCCCCCCCCCCCCCCCCCCCAAGCGGAACAAGATATGTACCCACACGCCCCAGCAAGGAGGAGTGACACAGGGCGCAGGCGCCCAGTGGGGCTGGATCCTTTGTGGAATACAACGATACGCTGAAAAAAAAACTCCAGCATGTCAAGGAAAAGGGATACCACATACGATGGCTAGGCCCAATGAGGGGGCAACCCAATAAACGAAATTTGGACCGATATTGTGACTTCCACCGAGAGGTGGGGCACCACATGGTCGATTGCTACCAATTGAAGACCGAACTGCAAGGTCTGCCGGATAGAGGGATGCTTAACGACTTTGTCAGAAAACCCGAAGAAAGGGTGCAATGTGCATTTGTCGCTGGCATAGAGTGGAAAGAGACGGAGTTGCCGCCCCCGCCATATGACCTCGATCAAGACAAGGCGTCCGAGTGGGTACGACTCACTGTGGAATCCATTTCAGGGACGCTGGACTTAAGGGAGAAGTTGGAGGCAAACCGCCAGCTGAGAGCCGCTTCTGTCGACACCCAGGAAGCTATCACATCAATTTCAACCAAGCGACCGAAGAGGCATGTATACTCCTCGTCGACGCGGGGAGTTCCATGGACGTATTATTCAAAGATACGGTGGCCCGTATGCAGCTATCGCCGGAATTGATCAGGCCCTTAGATTCGGTGCTTATCGGATTTTCCGGGGCGCCTGCGAAGGTGATAGGGCGAGTACGCCTGCCGGTGACCTTGGGTGACGGGGATCAAAGAGTTACGCGTGCCATCGATTTCGGAATAGTATATTGTCCGTCACCGTACAATGAATCCTGGGGAGGCCCCTCTTGGCCTTGTTCAACAGGGTGGCTTCTACTTGTCACCAGACCATCAAGTTTATTGCTCCTTAGGGAGTGGGAATAGCCCAGGGGCGAAGCGCCCCGCGTTATGCTCGAGAGACGGGCGAAAACAACGATGCACGGATGTGAGGATCAATGTGATGGAAGTCGAGGCAGAAGAGCCGCCTCGAGCCGAGGCCGCCGATGAGGAACTTTTGGTCACCTTGGACGAAGAGCGCCCAGAAAGGCAGGTGAGGATATCTGCGTAGACGCCTAACGAAATGAGGGAACAACTAGTCGGGCTTCTACAAGAATTCGGAGAGCTTTTTGCATGGAGTGCCATGGAAATTCCGGGCGTCGCACCCGAGACAGCCGTACATAAGTTGGCTGTCGAGGGGGAAGGAAACCGGTGCAGCAAAAACGTAGAAACTTGTCACCAGAGGAAGAGGCCGTGCTCAGAGTAAAAGTGGAAAAGCTCATGGGCACCAATTTAGTCGAAGAGACTACCTACGTTACATTGTTGTCGAATATGGTCTTCGTGTCGAAGCCGTCGGGAGATTGGAGAATGTGCGTTGACTATACGAGCCTTAATAGAGCAAGCCCCACTGATGCTTACTCGATGCCCCGCATAGATCAGTTGGTGGATTCCACGGCATATCATGAGATGCTTAGCTTTGTGGACTTGTTCTCCGGGTACCACCAAATCCCCATGGCTGAGGAGGATCGATCGAAGACGACAGTCATGACACCCTTTGGGAATTATTGTTATCGGGTCATTGCGTTTGGACTAAAGAATGCCGGCGCTACCTATCAACGCATGGTTAACAATTGAGGTCAACTTCCCGAGTTATCGAGTCGTTCGTTACGACTCAGCCAGTAACTACGAAGCACGTATCGACGAATTGGACATGGCAGATGAATCGAGGGAGGTAGCGGCGATGCGTTAGGAAAAGATGAAACGCCAGGTGGCCTGATACTATGACAAAAAGATGCGCCCGCACGGCATCACCGTCGGCACCCAAGTTCTCAAGCGTGACTTCCGTCCAGACTCCAGGTAAGGAAAGTTGGCACCAAATTGGAAGGGTCCATACCGAGGTCACGAGGTTGTGGGCGCCGGGACATTTAAGCTAGAGCATCCTGATGGCAAAGTGGTGAAAATGACGTGGAATGCACAAAATTTATGCCTTTACCAGTAGCCGTGCACGGGGCACCTCCGACTGATAGCAGGGATATTGTGGTATGGTTGAACGAAAGTGGGGGACATTTTGTTCGAACTTTGTGTAATCAAGTGTTACGTTTACAATAGGGGTGGGAAACGGTGCGGTTGCGGTTAACTGCACCGCAATTTGCGGTTAACTTCAACCTCAAAACACCCATATTAGCCAACCGCGACCGCGTCCCTCACGGTTAGCGGTTAACCAAAAACCGCAGAACGCGGTTAGCGGTTAACCAAAAACCGCAGAACGCAGTTAGCGGTGAACCGCGGTTTATGGTTGTAAAAACCACAACAACCGCAACACTATACGAAACCGTGGTTAAGCAATCTAACTGAAAATTAACTGCGAACTAACCGCAAAAAATTCATGGAAAAAAAAACACAACATCTACCGTTTTGTCTATTTTCACTTCCATCAAGACCCTGCATCTGTCTGCATATCCAAATAACACAATCCACAAATGCGCAAACCATTTTCCACAATCCCAAGTTTGAACTTCATAGGAAATTAACCAACATACCAAATAAACATAGACATAGCTAGAACTTAAACATAAATTCTTCAATCATTCTTGATCGGTGATCCTACTGACTATCCTCCCCATCACTAGAACTGTCATCCTCGCAATCACTGTCGCTAATAGCTCCTCCACCACTAGGTCTCACTCCGCCCGTAGCACTAGGTCCCACTCCGACCGAAGCAGAAGGAGCTTCACGATCAATGGGCATTGCATTTATTGCACTTCCAAGTCCAGCTGTGGCAGAAGTATTCACATCCCACACTAAAGTTTTGAATGCTAAAACAATAAAACAAATATTAGAATGGAATTAAGTTAGAAAGCAAAGTAACAATAGCTCAACAAACCAAAGAAACTAAAATAAAATAAATACCATTGTCAAGATCTTCCAACTCCTCCAAATCCTCATCTTCAATTGGCAATGTTGGGTTTGCTAACCAATCTTCACTGCAAATGACAGCTTCCACAATTTGAGGAGTCAAAGAACTC